TTTTCAGCAACAACAAGTGCTGAAATCAGTGTGACGAGTGTGATCTAGTCGTGTGCAGTGTGCAGAATTCAGTGATAATAGAATTCAGCAAGTGTGCAGAATCGGTGATAACATAATGGGAGATAACAGTGATTGTAAATCTAATGTGATGGTGCCTACAGACTACCTAAATGTTCAGATGATCTCCATTAAACTAAAGGAGAGAATTATGTGCCTTGGGCTAAATCCGTCGATGTCTTTCTGAAGGCAAAGAAGAAAGTAAAACACATAAGAGAGGAGAAACCCTCCACTGACTCTCACGAGTATGAAGACTGAGAGCAAGAGGATGCTCAGATCATCACATGGTTATGGAATAGTATGGAACCCAGGATTAGTTTAAATTTCATGTTTCTTGACACTGCCAAAGATGTGTGGGACCATGCGAAGAAATTGTATTCAGGTCAGGACAATACAACCAGAGTGTATCAGCTGTATCAGGAGTACTTTAATCTGCAACAGGGTAATCAGAGTCTTGAGGAGTACTATGTCAGTATGAGAAACATACGTAATGAGCTGAATGTCTACCACCCTCTCACTTCTGATGTCAAAATTCAGCAACAACAGAGAGAACAGCTTGATGTGACTCGATTTTTTGTGGGACTGAAATCTGAATATGAACCAGTACGGGCTCAGATACTAGGAGGATCAACTCTCCCTTCTTTAGAAGAGGTATTTGCTCAACTCCGGAGGACTTCTATCGGATCTACTGAGAACTCTAATATCTCAGATAGATCTACCTTTGTTGTGTCGAGAGGTCGTGGTGCTAGAGGTGGAGCTCGGGGAGCTTAGTCTGACTGTGGTGGTAGTAGTGGTCCGGTGTATGGCCGAAGTGGCAATGGTAGGCCTACTTATAATCGTGGTGGTGGTCGTACTGGGGGCAGAGATTCAGGGAAAGCCCATAGTAGAGGACGTGGCTCAGGCCCGAGGAGGTGCACTCATTGTGGTATGGATGGACATACCATTAACTATTGTTATGATCTACATGGTCCACCCTCAACCTGGGCCAATCATGCTGTGACTAGTGACACCAATTCCATCTTTAGACAGGAGAATTGTTCATCTGATCAGATACCTCCTACATCCACAGATGGTCCCGTGAAGGAGATAGTGAGTGTTCCCCGTGATGAATATGAGAGGTTTATCCAATCCACATCACTGCAGAACACGGCTACTTTCACTCACTCAGGTATGGCTTGTTTGGCATCCACACCCAATCCCTAGATCATTGACTCTGGAGCCTCCAATCACATGATTGGAACTCCAGGTGTGTTTTCTTCCCTATCTCATTGCTCAACATCACAATCTGTCACCCTTGCTAATGGTTCCACATCCTCAATTTGTGGTGTTGGTAATGTTGACCTAGACCCTGTATCTCTCTCCTCAGTTTTGTATGTTCCTAAATTGCCTTTTAATCTTATGTCTGTTAGTAAGCTGACCAAATCACTTAATTGGTCCATTACTTTTTATCCTTCTATGTGTGCTTTTCAGGATCTCAAGACGGGGATGAAGATTGGTGGAGGGCATGAAGCTGGTGGACTGTATTACCTTGACGGTGGTGGAAAAACTTCAACAGCTCTCTAGTCATCTCTTTCTCCTCTCCAGTGGCATTGTCGATTTGGTCATCCGTCGTTGAAAGTTTTGAAGTCTTTGGTTCCGTCTTTGAGTCAACTTTCTGTTTTGGATTGTGAGTCATGTCAGTTTGGGAAACACCATCGTGTTCCCTTTGGTTCTAGGGTTGATAACCGTGTGTCAAGTCCTTTTTCTTTGATTCACTCCGATGTTTGGGGTCCTTATAAAGTGATGTCATATAATGGGTATAGATATTTTGTCATTTTTATAGATGATTTTTCAATGATGACGTGGCTCTATCTAATGAAAGAAAGAAGTGAATTGTTTACCATTTTTCAGAAATTTTATGCTGAGATTCGTAATCAATTTGGTATTCACATTAAAGTTTTTCGTTCTGATAATGGCCGTGAATATTTATCCTCATCATCTCAAGAATACCTGGACCAACAAGGCATTATACATCAGACCTCAT